ATGGAAGGGGAATTTAATCCTTCTTGGCCTCATCATCCCACCCTGCCTGGGGGGAGGGAGTTTCATTGCATTATTGTGGCTACAGTCCTTCAGATCCTGAGATGGAAAGGGTAGGTGAAAGGCAAAGGAGTCTCTATTATTATTAATAATAACCTTTTTTTGCCAAGTCTCTCTGCGCTGACTGCCAGCATGCAGAGGAGGTTTCCAACACTTTCTTGTTACAAAGGACACTGTGGATAATCAGGGCTGTGACCTGCCTGAGGTGGAGACCCACTGGACCCCAGAGCCACAGGAGATGCCGAGTCTTGCTGCTGTGGTTGGTGTCTCTCTGTCTGCCCTTTCACTGTCACTGCCAAGGTCTGAAATCTCCCTGGAGAGCCAGGCCCTGCTGCTGGTGAGACGCCCTGCTCTGTTCAAATACTGCCCGGGCCCTACCTTGGGTACAAAGGTGACACCCAGGACCTTGACACCATCCCAGGCTCCACGGCCAGCGAGGTCCACCCAACCAGCAAGGAGAAGCTGGAAGCCTTAGGGTATGTGGAAGGTACGGGTAGGTATCTGAGGTCTTTTTCCTTGGAGGAAGCCTAGAAATCTCTGGAAACCAACAGATCAGTTAAAAGCCTTCTACATGCCCGTACTGGTGCTTGTCAGATGATGTGCTGGTAACACAGAAGCTACACAAGGCAACTGATTCCCTTAAAATAATGCAGTGGGTTCCCACTCATGGGGGGTAAATGTGGAGGAAAGTCTCTGGTGATGAGGGACTCGATTGCTCCTCTAGTAGTAAAATCCTCCTCCCCTGTCTCAGCAGGGTCTAGTACCTTATTTTTGTACTCAGTCTGCCACAGAGGCATCATGCTATGAGGGGAGTTTGTGCCCAGTGAAGTCAGTCTGGATTCCTGACAGCATAGAGGAACAAGCCCCAGCACTTTTGCTTTCAACTGTCTGTTTTTCCGATGCCTGACCCTTCCCAAGGACTCCATCCCGCCTTCATCTGGAAGGAAGAAAGTTCTAACCATCATCTTGGGGAAGCTCCTAACTTGTACAGTAGCTGCCACTGGGTCCAGCACCAGCACCTCGTCCCCTCTGTGTGCTGGTGTCTGTTATTTCCACTGATGCTGAGCAGCTGATGGGAAGGTGAATCCAAGTGAATCCATGAAGATGGTGAGGACAGTCCAGCAACCACCCCTGGGCAGAGGCAAGCAAGACCTCCATAACCCAAGCTGCAGCTAGATGACAGCAAAGTGGATTAGACAAGAGTCCTTCAGAAGAAAACTCCCGGGCCACCTATCCTAACGAACTGCAAATCTGCTGGTAAGGAAGCTGTGCAGGGAGAGCCAGAGGCACACAGCACTGCAGTAGGTTTCCAAAACATCACTGCAGGGCTCACCACAGCCATGTGCAGGCTCACAGAAGCCAGACAGGCAACAAAAATTCCCATATTCACTAGCTGTCCTTACGTGCGATTACACATGGCAGTCACAGCACCTGGGTTATGCAGCCAAGCTCCCAAGTAGAGCATGCCAAGAGAAACCCTGTTAAACTCTGACTTCTTGTCAAGGATTCAAACACCCGTCCCCAGTCCAACTTTCCAACTGAACACATTTCACACCAGAACCCTTAATACTGCTCAGGGCCATCAGAGATTAACACATCAAACCTGAAACTGCTAGAAAAATCAAAGCACAACGCTGCTCTCAGCATGCTCCTTGATCTGTGTTGTAACTCCTGAGTGTCGAGGGTGGGAAATCACAGATGTAGGATGGGCTGCTTGAGCCTGACCAAGATTTACTTGACACCCTCTGGTTTCTGTTTCCCTTCTTGTTTCAAGACCCAGTTTGTCTGCAAGCCACCTGACCTCTCTCTGCCTCCCCCTCGTCACAGTGATGGAAGGGCTTTTCCCCTCTCTGCTTGCAGGAGAGATTAATTTCACTAATGTGCTGAAAAGATTTTAAATCCTCTGGAGGACAGAGCTGGAGAAAGGCAAAAGATGTTACTAACACTGCTCTTATTTTTGTATAACCACCCTCCCTCCATGTCCTGACTGTGCATAGAAGCTGGTAGCAGCTTGCTGATTTGTTTAGGATGACACTTAAAACACCCATGCTTAGAAGGAAAATGATGCTCAGAGGTTTTTTATTTTCATAGAGGACAAAGTTGATGTCAGCAGTGAGGGCTCCATCCTGACCACCCCACGGATCCACTCAGACCCAGAGGAGCTGAAAGAGGCAAAAGTGAATGGCGAATCATAGAAACAGTGGTGAAAATTTGCCTCTGGAGGAAGCCTCCCACAGGGAGCCAATTATTGCCAGCCCTAGATCAGGCTGGTCAAGGTTTTGTCTAGCTAAGCCTCAGGCATCTCCTTTGGGACTGAAAGTCTGGACATGGCCCCAAGCACCTTGCCCGGTGTCTCTCAGATTTTCTGGGGTGACAGCAGGAACTGAGCCTGGGTCTTTCACCCCTGGACCTTCGTGCTGGGGTCACAGTGCTGCAGGGGCTGGGCCTGCTGCAATCACAGCTATGTGGCCTCACATCCACCAGCTGAACCACGTTCTGGATTAGCAGGGGAAGGACAATATCTCTAAGAGAGATCTTGGTGTGATGTTAATTCCTCCCTGTGACTAGTCAGCCTTTGGCTACCATGAGGCACCATGTTCAAGGGAAAACCAACTTGTCCATGAAGTGCCACCTCCATGGGTGGCAGTTTGTCTCAGAGCTACCTGCTGTCCCGGGCACTGGCTGTTCTAAAGGAAAGAGTGAAGGAAGGGGAATAAACTACCCTGCACATCCACTGCAGGTGAGATAGGCAACCAGAGGCTTAAGTGGCAAGAAGAGTAGATTCAAATTAGCCATAGGGAAGATGCTGTAGCAGAGGACAGGGAATGCTGGGAGGGCACAGGATTTCCATTGCTGGATAACCTGCTGCCCATGAACAGGACGAAACAGTGAGTTAATGCTGCAGTAGCACAAAACAAGGACAGGTGTCATCACAGGGTCATAGAATCATAGAAGGGTTTGGGTTGGAAGGGACCGTAAAGATCACCCAGTCCCACCCCCTGCCACAAGCAGGGAGACCTTCCATTAGCCCAGGTTGCCCAAAGCCCAGTCCAACCTGGTCCTTCGAGCTCTCCTCCTGGTGATGGCTACAGCTGAGTCCTGCCTGGAAGGATGCCCATAAGACTCTCTGATTATTCATCTTTCCACATCCAGAAAAACTTGCTCCTTCTCCTGGCTGTGCTCCCAAAAGCAGAGTGACACCAAAGCCTCTGCCAAAGAAGAGGGTGATAAACCCCTCCCAAGGGAGACAACCAGGTGAGCATGAAGGTGGAAACTGGGTGTGTGGAAGCGCTGCTGTCTCTGCTCTGTTACGTGATCACATGCAGGGATTCTGCCTTCATGCTCATCCCTACAGTGCTCTGTGTGCTGGCGTTATCGATCTCGAGGAGAAACACTGAGGCACAGGCGGTGAACTGGGCTTCTGACCCCCCCTAACAAGGGCTGTGGGTCACAGAGCTTGGTCATCCAGCGCTGCAGTGTGGCCAAGGGAGGTGTCCAGGGCTGTTACCTCCTGCCTGATGGTTCTGCTTACACACACACACACACACACCAGGGTGGCCACAGTCACCCTCTGTCAAAGCTGGCCTGAACTGGGGAAGACAACAGAGATCCCAATATCATTTCTGTGCAGCCCAAGCTGCCACACAGTGTTTCACGGAGCTGGGTGGTGAGCTCTTCTCTGGCAGTCAGTCCTTCCAGCACTGTCTGGCCCATAAGGCTGGGAAAAGGACTGGTGCCTGCTTTGCTTGCTCCAGCTCCATCAGCAGGAGCTGCACACTGGTTGGTCTCTTGTCAGTGCCTCTCCATCCGTCTCTTTATGCTCTGTGTGTGTGGCAGGGACCTCTCATGCAGTCCTCAGCAGAGAATTGAGTGAAAAGCAGAAAAGAACATGACAGGGAAACAACTGAAAGGTCATGTTACCTTGTTATGGGCTTCCCTCCTGGAAGGCACGCTGTCAGCATGGCCAGGAGTGGTTTGACCTTTAGCTTGGTCCTGTGGTGTTGCATGATCCTGAGACAACAACCAGGAGTACACAAAGGAAGGGACAGTCCCCTGCCTCAAGGATTTGGAGACAGAGCAGCTGAAGGAAGCATCAATACCCTTTTTGACAGAGAGAGAACTGAAGCTCATGAGCACAGAGCTAGAACTAAACCAACCACCTCAGCCAGCACCTCACGTTAAATACAGGCTCACCCTTCCTCTGCCCAGATCCCCCAACTCCCCTGCACCCTCGGTAGCTGTTCAGAGGTAGATGCTTTGCCACTGGCAGTAAGGAACATCCCACCCCAATCCCAGTCCCAAATCCCCAGTGGTTTTAGTTCATTGTTTCCAAATGAATATAATATATAGGTAGTGTCTCCCTCCGGCCCATTTAATCTGCTGTCCTCTCCCTACCTGCAGCATTCTCCAACACTTTCAATTTATTCCCCAAAGATCCGGATGGCAAAATTAAACTTCACAGCCTGGAGGTGACTGCTAAGCAGCTGGGCTTCAGCCTAACCACTCGAGGTGTATGATGAGCTGGTGCGTGCAGATGCCGATGGTGAGTGCACCAGACCACGCGTTACTCCCCAGTGGATTGTTCTGAGACAATTTCTGGCTGTGCAGAGCAATCTCCCCCCTCCATGTGCCTTCCCAGCCTGCAGCAATACTGTACCAAAATGTTTCCTGAGCCAGAGGCTGTACTTGGGCTGCTGCGTTTTAGCACTTACCAGGGACTATCCTTCATGATTATGTCACGCTCTTTGGACATCTTTATGCATGATGAAGCACCAGGATGCACAGCCCAGTTACATGTGAAAGCTTTAACAGCTGTTTTTCTATCCTTAGATTTTAGTAGCAAATCTTTCTGCAGTGCCAGCTCTGAGCTGCTTGCCCTAGCTTTTCATTACAGCAAAAAACTGCCTTGCTAATGGAGGTGCCATGTGCCTGCAGGAAACGTGATGGCAGAACTCTCTGACTTTCTGGACATCATTACTGACAAGAAGTGTTTCACCCAGACAATACGTAAGTAAGAGACATTCTATTCCAGCAAAAGCTTATCCAGAGATATCTGAATTTACCCAATTCTCAGGCTAAAGAGACAAAGGCTGCTCTACTCAGACGATGGCAACAGGTCAATGGGCCATGACAGGCCAGCTCTGGGTTAGCTCTGCCCCCGGGGCCATCCATGGCTGTGCTTGCCAGTCTCAGGGACAGGGGCAGGAATCCAGCATTTGGTCCTGGTTGCAAGAGCAGAGGCCAAACTCTTCTCTTACAGGATGGGACACAGAAGGAGTAGAAGATCTTACCTTCTTTGACTAATGATAAGCTTCAGGGAATTGTTCTCCCTGCTAGATACCTAACTAGCACTCAGCAGAAAACGGGGATGGATCCCCACACCAAAACTTGTCCAGATCTTCCTTGGGGCTGCTGGGATCTCTGCTCCCTTTGAGCTCTGTGAAGGTAAGACAAGGCTCAGTCATGGCTCCGACCACTCTCCTCTCCAGCCCCTGGGAAAAATGACTCAGGTGGCTTTGCTTCTGTCAATGTCAGAGGAAACCTCCTCTTCAAAGTCTTCTTGAAGCTGATAGAGTTGGCAGCTCTGCCCTGGAGAACTCTTTCAGATTGTCAGGTGAGCTGCCTTAGTTCTGTGAGACACAGAAGGGAGGTCCCCACTTTCCTGGGGTATTTGTTTCTTCTGTAACAGAATATACAGAACACAGGGCCCCAGGACTAGATTTCCCGAAATGTTCGGACACCCAAAAGCACCTGCATAGCTCAGACCCCTGCTTTACAAACACACTGCTGTAAATGCCACCATGTCTATCAACCACACACCTTTGCAGTTTCCATATCCTCACCTACCCGGTCTTTCCAGACATGTGGGTGCAGAGCAGCCAGTGCTGCACCGGGCCTTGGGCTGTGTTTCACAGGACAATGACGCCCTCTTTTGTCTTCTTGTTCCTACCAGCAGAAGCTTAAGGACTGCACTGGCCAAAAAGTCTGGATGGATGGTGACTTCCTCAAGTTTCACAGAAAGAAGCCCCACAAAATTTGGAAAGAGACAGTTTACCCTATGTTTTCCTTCATTAGTGCTGTCCGTGTCTCAGCCATGAAAAAAAGGGAGACAGCAGCTTACGTGGAGTACCTCAAAGGTAAGGCAAGGCTTGCACCCTGACACTCCCGCTCTGTCCAAAAAGAGAATCACTGGAGCTGTGAGGGGGACAACCCGACTGGGGCATTTCACAGAATCAGAATCCCAGAAACACTCAGGTTGGAAAAGCCCCTCGGGGTCATCGAGTCCAACCCTCAGCCCGACTCCACAAAGTTCTCCCCTACCCCACATCCCCCACAGCTCATCCAAACGGTCCTTAAACACCCCAAGGGATGGAGACTCCCCCCTCCCTGGGCAGCCTGTTCCACTCTCTGACCACTCTTGCTGGGAAACATTTTCTCCTCCTGCCCAGTCTGACCCTCCCCTGTTGCAGTTTCCAGCCGTTCCCTCTTGTTCTGTCCCTGATCCCCTGGGAGCAGAGCCCAGCCCCAGCCTCTCTGCAGTGTCCTGTCAGGAGCTGTGGAGTGATGAGGGCTCCCCTCAGCCTCCTCCTCCTCACACTGAACACTCCCAGCTCCTTCACTGGCTCCTCACAGGATTTATTCTCCAGCCCTTCCCCAGCCTTGCTGCCCTCCCCTGCCCTCGCTCCAGCCCCTCCAGATCTCTCTGGCATTGAGGTGCCCAAACCTGGACACAACACCCCAGGTGTGGCCTCACCAGTGCAGAGCACAGGGGACTGTCACCTCCCTGCTTCTGCTGGTCACACTGTCTCTACTACAAGCCAGGATGCCGTTGGCTTTCTTGGCCACCCGGGCACACTGCCGGCTCATGTTCAGCTGCTTGTCAATGAGAACCCCCAGATCCTTCTCTCCCAGACAGCTTCAGCCACCCCTCCCCAAGCCTGTAGCCATGCAGGGGGTTGTTGTGGCCCAAGTGCAGGACCTGGCACTTGGCCTTGTTGAAGTTCATTCCATTAACGTTGGCCACCTATTTGCCACAGCTCCTCCTGGCACGTGGCCTTCTCCGAAGGTGGAGGGTTGGTGCTTCCCATATTGAGTTCAGCAAGGCTCAGGGTCAGCCCTGCATTAGCAAACCCTTCCCAAGGTCATTCCCAAGAGGACCACAGAAACGAAGCTGGAGCAAACCATAGGAGTCCATCCAGCTTAAAACCCTCCCAGGGCAAGAAGGAAAATTGAACAGTTAGTGGGTTCTGCTCCGGGGGCTCTCATGGGCAAAGGAATTGGCCTCCAGAGGAGTCCGTGCAAGGTGGCTGCCACAAAGCATCTAGTGAGGGGTGAGCTCCGGGTTACCCCAACACCTACAGGCACCTGTGCCATGGACTGCTGCAGATTAAGCACCCCAAGTAGCCAAAGCACTGGTGTCTCTGTGGATCTATGCCTGCTAACATTGGCCGTGCTGGATGGCAGCTACTGTATCTCGTGGTTCAGAGGAGTGAGGAATTCAGGACTTATCAAGTCCTTCCCCAGCAAGAGGAGGCAAACTGAGAGGCAGGAGACAGCTGGCTGATGGTCACCCAGTCAGTGACTCTGGTTCCTATTTCCCTCCACCTCGTTCAGGCAGCCTTTACACCCAGGCACCCATCTTGCTGCTGATTTTTAAACAAGATGCAACAACACTGGCAAAGCCAGAAAAGGCTTGCAGAAGGTGACAAGGCAGAGGAATGAACCAACCACTTCATCTGAAAGCCACTTTTTCCATGAGAGAAACCGGGTTCAGGAGGTGAGAGACAAGTGATGCCTCAGCTATGTAGCAGTATCAGAGGTGTGGGGAGAAGCCTGAAAACTTGTGTTTTGTTTCATCCAGCAGCTGCACTCAAGCCTTCTGCTCACCGCAGAAAGTGGAGACGCTCCCCTGACATCAACACCAAGCACCCAAACACACCACGTCATCTGACAACAGAGAGCCCAGGCAAGACACAAACTGTGAGCATGAAATGTAGAGGGCAGATGTTGCCCTTTGTCATACGGGACTGCAATTAGAGCAGAACTAAGTGTGACTGGTCACTCATGTAACCTACACATTAACTGTCTGGTGAATGCTTTAACTAGACATAAGTATTAAAGAGCAATTTCCACTTAAGTGCAAGGAAAAATGAAACCAGAGGTATAATAATAGCTTACTTTTATAAACTTAACAGTTTATTACTGTTAATCATCAGCATGAACTGATTATAACCTGTCAGTGCCGCATCATAATGTGCCACTGAGGTGCTTTTTGTCTTACATGTATGCACATGGCATGTGCTCCCACCAGGGCAAAGCTGTGTCATCCCCCACCACGGTCCTCCGCCTCCTCCTCCAACTTCCCTCCCTCCTCCTGGAAGGCGCAGGCAGCCAAGCGGTACAGGCACAGCCCAGCCCTCTACCAGCCCCAGCGGAGGATCAGCGGGGGCCAGATCAGCCCGTAGATGGGCAGCAAGTGCTTCCACCACACCTTCCACACCTACACCAAGTCAAGCAACTCCCACCAGGAGCTGGTAACAGCCATTGGCCTCTGCAGGCTGGACCGTGAAACAAAGAAAAAGTCCAGGTGCCTCCTTCCTAAAGCTGCAGAATCATCCTCCCTACAATGGGGTCTCTGCGTCTCTTTGTTCAAGCCCCCTTATCTTAGTTTTCCCATTCTAGGGGTTGCCCAAGTGTCCACTGAAGGCCTTGAGTCTGCTCCCAGTGATTTCTGCCAGGAGCCTAACGAGGTTTCAGTCGTACCTAAACGACAAAGGGACCACAGGAAGGAGCTGAGGGGTCGAGGCCTTGAGAAACAAATGAAGCAAAACACAAGCAAAGCTTTCATACATCACATCACAGTTTAGTCTTAATAATTATCAGATATTTATTTGTTTGAGCCCTTTCATTCCCATTCAACCACCGGCTCTGCCGCTGGCAATGATGAGTGCCAGGCGATGGCCGTGCCTGGACACCACCGGGGGCTGGTGAACGCTGGGCAATGGCGGCTTGGGCCGGGCCTGCTCCCGCCCCGGTGTATGAAACGCGAAATCAAAGTCAGGAAAAGCGCTTTTATCGCCGTGGTGGCCGCCTCAACACAGGCGCCCCCGCCCGCCGC